TTAATTTAAAAAAAAAAGAAGCAAAGAGAGATGACCCCCCCCCCAAAAAAAAACCCCAATCAGAAACGAAGGTGGAGAAGTAACACCTGACACCACAGAAATACAAAGGATTGTAAGAAAATACTATGAACAACTATATGCCAATAAGTTGGACAATGTGAAGGAAATGGACAAATTCCTAGAAAAATACAGTCTCCCAAAACTAAATCAGGAAGAATCAGAAAACCTGAATAGGCCAATAACAACTGATGAAATATAAGCCGTAATAAAAAAACTCCCAGATGGCTTCACAGGGCAGTGAGAGTTTTACCAAACTTTCAAAAGAAGAAATAACATCTCTGCTCCTTAAACTATTTGAAAAAAGTGTAAGAGAAAGGAACACTTTCAAGCTCTTTTTTATGAGGCTAACTTTATCCTAATTCCAAATCCAGATAAAGACACTATAAAGAAAGAAAATTATAGGCCAATATCCTCGATGAACATAGATGCTAAAATCCTCAACAACATATTAGAAAAGCAGGTCCAGCAACATATTTTAAAAAATCATACACCATGACCAACTGGGATTTATTCCAGGGATGCAAGGCTGGTACAATAGTCTCAAATCAATAAACGTGATACATTACAGAAAAAAATTGAAAGACAAAAATCACATGATCATATCAATAGATGCAGAAAAGCATTCAACAAAATCCAACACCCAGTTTTGATAAAAATGTTCAGCAAAGTGGAAGTAGAGGGATCATATCTCAACAGAATAAAGGCCATATATGACAAACCTACAGTCAACATCTTACTCAATGGGCAAAAATTAAAACTATTTCCCTTAAGAACAGAAAAAAGACAGGGATGCCCACTCTCACCACTCTTATTCAACATAATACTGGAAGTCCTAGCCCCACAGTGATCAGACAAGAAGAAGAAATAAAAGGCATCCAAATTGGAAAGGAGGAAGTAAAACTGTCTTTATTCAAGGATGGCATGATATTGTACATAGAAGACCCTAAAGACTCCACCCAAAAGCTACTAGATCTAATAAATGAATTTGGCAATGTAGCAAGTTACAAAATTAACACCCAGAAATCAATGGCATTTTTATACACCAATAATGAATTCTCAGAAACTAAATAAACAATGCCCTTTATCATTGCAACAAAAACATTAAGATATTTAGGAATAAACTTAACCAGGGAGGTAAAAGACTTGTACTCAACTACTGGGCATTGAAAAAAGAGATAGAGATATAATCAAGTGGAAGAATATACCATGTTCATGAATAGGTAGAATTAACATCATTAAAATGTCCATCCTACCCAAAACAATCTACAGATTCAATGCAATCCCTATTAAAATACCAACAGCATATTTCACAGATCTAGAATACTCCAAAAATTTATATGGAAAAAAAGAAGATCCCAAAGAGCCTCAGCAATCTTGAGAAAGAAGAACAAATTTGGATAGATCACAATACCAGATATTAAGTTTTACTACAAAGCCACTGTACTCAAAACAGCCTGGTACTGGCACATGAACAGGGATATAGAACAATGATACAGAACAAAGACCCCAGAAATTGACCCAAGCCATTACACTCAATTTATATTTGACAAAGAAGGCAAGAATATACAATGGAGTCAAGAAAGTCTTCAATAAATGGTATTGGGAAAATTGGACAGACACATGCAAAAAAAAAGAAATTAGACCACTAACTTACATCATACACAAGAATAAACTCAAAATGGATAAAAGACTTAAGTGTAAGCCATGGAACCATAAAAACCCTAGAAAAAACCAAAGGCAGCAAAATCTCAGACATCTCTTTTAGTAACATGTTTATAGATACATTTCCTATGGCAAAGGAAACCAAGGAGAAAATAAACTAATGGAAGTACATCAAAATAAAATGAAACCATCAACAAAATGAAAAGGGAACCCATTCTATAGGAGGACATATTTGGCAAACATAAAGCTGATATTCAAAATATAAAAGGAACTCATACAAGTTAACAAAAGAAAGACAAAAAATCCAATTAAAAAATAAGAAAAGAACCTAAATAGACACTTCTCCAAAGCAGACATACAGATGGCCAAGAGACAATGAAAAATGCTCAAAGCCACTGACCATCAGAGAGATGCAAAATATAATGACAATGAGGTATCAGTCAGCTCATACCTGACAGAAAATTACCATCAACCAATCAACAAGTGACAAGTGCTGATGAGGATGTGGAGAAAAGGGAACACTAGTACATTGCTGGTGGGAAAACAGTATGCAGTTCTCTCAAAAAATTAAATATGGAATGCCATTTGACCCAGTGATCCCAATTCTAAGAATATATCCTAAGAGACCTGAAACACCTATCAGAAAGAATGTATTTACCCCAATGTTCATAGCAGCACAATTTACAATAGCTAACATCTGGTACTGGCACAAGAACAGCCCAAGTGCCCATCAGTAGATGAGTGGATAAAAAAGCTGTGGTACATTTACACAATGGAATACTATGCAACAGTAAAAAAGAAGGATCTCTTACCCTTTAAGACAGCATGGATGGACCTGGAGAGTATTATGCTAAGTGAAAAAAGCAAGTCAGAGAAAGATAAGTATCATATGATCTCATGTGTGGAATCTAATGAAAACAATAAACTGATGAAAAAAAATAGGTCTAGAGACATGGAAGTATAGAACAGACTGTGGAATCTCAGAGGGAAGGTGGGAGAGGGTGGTAGGTAGGAGGAGGGCAACCTAAGAACTTGCATATATGCATAACCTATGGACACAGATAATAAGGTGGTGAAGTCCTGGGGTAGGGTGTCAGGGAAGGCTAGAATGGTTCAAGGGGGAAAAAAGGGACATTTGTAATCCTTTCAACAATAAAGATTTAATTAAAAAATAAGAATGAACAAGAAAAACATTAAAAAATCTATATAAAGCAACCCATATTAATCTGAGTAAGTGTTAAACCCAATTTACTACTGTGACCTGATTTTTCTCTTGAAACTAGTGCTTACATGTTAAAAGTTTTAAAATATACTTTATAGTTCAGGATTTTCCATTCCTATGCAAACTTAGGAAGCAGCCTGGTCTCAACACCCAGCTGATGCCAACCACTCAATCATAGGAACTCAGCAGACAAAAAGACCAGATAGCCAACTCAAGAATGGTCACCATAAAGATCCATATCAAAGCCTATGGGAAGACGCCCTTTACATCCTACGCATCATACATGTTCACAGTTTTCTCCTCCCTCTTTCAGTCCTATAGAATTTGTTAGATTGACCAGAGTTGTTAAGATAGGCTTTGGGACAAAAGTCCCCATCTCCTTGAGAAAGAAGAACAAAGTAGGTGGGATCTCAACACCAGATATCAAGCTGTATTACAAAGCCACTGTTCTCAAAACTGCCTGGTACTGGCACAAGAACATATAGATCAATGAAATAGAATAGAGAACCCAGAAATCGACCGAAACCACTATGCTCAATTAATATTCGACAAAGGAGGCATGAACATACAATGGAGTCAAGACAGCCTCTTCAATAAATGGTGTAGGAAAATTGGACAGATACATGCAAAAATAAATGAAACTAGACCACCAACTTACACCATACACAAAAATAAACTCAAAATGGATAAAGGACTTAAACATAAGATGGGAAACCATAAAAATACTAGAGGAATCCACAGGCAGCAAAATCTCAGACATATGCTGAAGGAATTTCTTCACTGATACTGCTCCTAGGGCAATGGAAACTAAAGAGAAAATAAACAAATGGGACTACATCAAAATAAAAAGCTTTTGTACAGCAAAAGAAACCATCAACAAAACAACAAGAAACCCCACTGCATGGGAGAACATATTTGCAAATGTTATCACCAATAAGGGTTTAATCTCCAACATTTACAGGGAACTCATACAACTTAACAAAAGGAAGATAAACAACCCAATCAAAAAATGGGCAACAGACCTAAATAGGCACTTTTTGAAAGAAGACAGAAGAAAGGCCAAAAGACATATGAAAACATGCTCAAAGTCACTAATCATCTGAGAGATGCAAATTAAAACGACAATGCAATACCATCTCACACCTGTCAGAATGGCTATTATCAACAAATCAATAAAGGACTAGTGCTAGCAAGCATGTGGAGAAAAAGGAACCCTCATGCACTGCTGGTGGGAATGCAGACGGGTGCAGCCACTGTGGAGAACAGTATGGAGTTTCCTCAAAAAACTAAAAATAGAAATCCCATTTGACCCCTTGATCCCACTTCTAGGAATATATCCCAAGAAACTAGAAACACCAGTTAGGAAGGATATATGCACCCCTATGTTCATAGTGGCACAACTCACCATAGCTAAGATTTGGAAACAGCCTAAGTGCCCATCAATAGATGAGTGGATTAAAAAACTGTGGTACATCTACACAATGAAATACTATGCTGCGTTAAAAAAGAAGGAATTCTTACCATTTGCAACAGCATGGATGGAACTGGAGAGCATTATGCTAAGTGAAATAAGCCAGTCAGAGTAAGATAAATATCACATGATCTCACTCATTTGTGGAATGTAATGAACAACATAAACTGATGAACAAAAACAGATCCAGGGACAGAGAAGCACCGATCAGATCAAACCTCAGAAGGAAGGTAGGGGAGGGTGGGTGTAAGGGGGAGAGATCAACCAAAGGACTTACATGCAAGCATATAGGCCTAACCAATGGACACAGACAACAGGGGGGTGAGGGCATGAGTCGGCGGGATAGGGGGTAATGGACACATATTTTTTTTTTTTAACCAAGAATGTTAAATAGTTGGAAACTGTAAATCTTCTAAAATGTGGTAGGCACTTTCAGAGAAATATTGCAAATTATCCTACCATATTTCTTTTCTAATACCAACAATATATGACATGATGAAAAATACCAAGAAGACTCAACTAATTATTCAGTCAAAGTCACCATGTCAGGGTTCAACTTAGGTACACAGTGAGTTTTGTCCAAGATGTTCCTGACACATGAAGCTTCCAGTTGAATTTCAGAAATGTTAACAAAAGTATCTTCCTTTTTTGCCTGTGAATGTTTGAGTATTGCTGTATTGTTGGCTTATATCCACTACAGACACTGGTTCTAGGCCAGCCCAAGGGTCTTCAAGCATTGAAGGTTTGAAATAACTTTCCAACTCATTAGACATTCTTTTTTCTCTACCACACCCTGATCCAAAAGGTGTAGATGTCCTTGGGGAACCCTGGGGGTGGGCCTGCTGCCCTGGGGAGTAGCCGAATTGCTGCTGGGACCCCGCGGGGGACCTGGAGTAGGAGCCAGGGTAGCCGCCAGGGGACAGAGACCCGAACCAGCCCCCGGGGAAGCTGCCACCATGTCGCCGAGAGTGGCTGTTCCCATAGGGCCTACACTGGGGCCCGAACGACAGCGACAATGTGTGATGCAGTCTCCCGTACCCGTCCCGAGGGGAGGGAGGCCGCAGCCCGCCTCCGCCCCGGGTACCCCGGTAGCTGCTCCTGCTGCTCCAATCTCCTACCCCCAGGCCAGGGTAAGGAGGAGTCGGGGTTCGGAAGTTCTGTTGGTGCATGTCGGCAGAGGAAGGCCTCACTCCCGCGTCCCCGGAACTGTCCTATACCAGTTGATTTTAATCCTATCAATTTTCGGTAATGGACACATATGTAATAACTTAATCAATAAAGAAATTTAAAAAAAAGTCCCCATCTTCTCAAGGAGCCAATATTTAAATAAATATAGTGCTTTCTTTTTCACCAGCACCTTTCTCACAAGTTTGGCTTTTGTTGCATTAAGAAGCTAAACCTGAGTTTGGTTACACCAGCTATCTTTAAAAGAACCATAGTAAAAAAGTAGAATGTGTTAAGGATTCTGCTTTGTGGAAATGGGAGACATCCCCGTCTATTCTTTTGTCACTCACTTCCGTCCCACCCACAAACAGGAAGTGGGCCTGTTTGGCATATAGCAGGGAGTTGCCTAGTTCTTGCTCTTCCAAGGGAAGGAATGGTACTTGGGAAGCTTGGGGAAGGGATGAGTTTATCACCCACCACAGAATTATAAATCAAAACCTCAGGAATTGATCCAATAGAGACTTGTCTTGACTTTAAAGAAATACACCTTCAGTATCAGGCTGCATGGTGAGTGTGAGACTTGTTTGAGGGAAGAGGTTTGCTGTGTCCCTCCTTTCTTCTCTTGACAGATACGTGTTTCCTGAGAAGTAAATCCCATGTACATCAGCCTCATTTCCAGCACTGAATAAATACCACGTGACCAAATCTCCTTTGCTCATATTGAGACCAGGCTGATTCCCATACATAAATCCATTCATGGCTGTAAAAGGTGAAAAACAACATTTTGAAAGTGGTTTACCTCATGTCCTACTACATGACAACCTCCTAGACTTTCCAGAGCCAACTTTATTTAATTTTTAAAAGACCCATTCTGACCTCTCTACTCCTTTCTGTGTCAGCAGTGGCTTTGCAATTTCTTGATGTTCCCTCGAGAGCAGAAAGGAGCAGAGCTAAATGCAGTGTTCTCAGAGTTCTGTGCCCTAGGAATCTTACTGTTCTTCCAAGCTAGCCACTTTTCAGTTCTCTCAAGGGTCATATTGTGAACACCTAAGTATATGAGAAATACCACCTCTTCCTGGGCACTGTAGACTGGGAATGGGTTTGTTGTTCTAGATGGAAAATTCTATGATTTCTCTTGAATTAATAGGGCAGAGTATTTGCAGGAAGTTTTCTCTCACTGCTGTTTTTGATAGATCATATCTTTGGCTCCTCCAGAATGCAAAAATGCTAAATCAAAAGTATTATTTTAAAGATTGTGAGTAATGTAACTAGTATCAATCCAATTTTTAAAAAAATCTATAAAACAACTTTACATTTTTTTCTTCTTGCTACAATCATTTTCACATGTTGTTTATTAGTGGTGTGGTGGTTTTTTTTTTTTTTTTTTTTTTTTTTTTAAAAAAAAAAACAATTAGCTCACTATTTCTGAACCCTAACTGCATTTTAGAATTACACTGGGAGCTAAAAATAAATCTGATGCCAGATTTCAATTAAATAAAAACCTCTGGAGCAGTGGTTCTCAACCTTCCTAATGCCACGATCCTTTAATACAGTTCCTCATGTTGTGGTGACCCCCAACCATAAAATTATTTTCGTTGCTACTTCATAACTGTAATTTTGCTACTGTTATAAATCATAATGTAAATATCTGATATGCAGGATGTATTTTCATTGTTATAAATTGAACATAATTAAAGCATAGTGATTAATCACAAAAACAATATGTAATTATATATGTGTTTCCCGATGTTCTTAGGCGACCCCTGTGAAAGGGTTGTTTGACCCCCAAAGGGGTCGTGACCCATAGGTTGAGAACCAATGCTCTGGAGGTTGTCCTGAGCATTTAAAAAATAGCTTTAATAGTTTTTAAAAGCTCCCAGTTGATTCTAATGTGTAGTCAAGGGTGAGAATTATTGAAGTTTATTAAGAGCAGAGACCATATCTTTCTTCATATTAAATAATACAATGAGCCTGTCATTCTTAAGCCACAGATGAGAAAAGCATCTAATCAGCAGTTGTCAAAACTTGAACATAGATCAGAATCACCTGGAGGGTGTGTTAAGCATAGATTGCTGTCCCCACACCCAGAATTTATGATTCAGTAGGTCAGGGTTGGGGTCTAAGAATTTGCATTTCTAAGAAACCCTGCATGATGCTGATCACATACTAAGCAACATGCATCTAATCGACATATTTTGTATGTTTCATCCTGAATTAAGTGAGATGAGGAGTAACTGAACAATACATTAAATAATCAGTGATATTACCCTCACTATATTTGTTTATTGAAAATTGAACAATAGGCAAAGCTATTGGAATTTTGGTATAATTAAAAGCATTCCATGTGCAACACTGAAATAACTTGAAGCATTGGTGGATGAGGCAGTACTTACAGTGCATCTTATTAGATTCCTGAAACTCTGCGTCGTCTTTATCCACCTGATCAGATGCAGTTGTAAACATTTTTATATTATCGTCCAAGAGCAAACTCTCATTCTCATCAAACACTATAGGGAACAAATAGAACTCCTTGTCTACATCTTTCTGTAAATAAAAACAAGAACAATAAGGTGAAGGCAGAAGAAGTAAAGCAGAAAGACTCCCATGTACACAACATTATTTTTGAAGAACAGAAGTTTCCATTCCTCTTTGTAAATGCACTCACAGAATCATCCAGTTGACCACTATCTGTGTAGTGGAATTTTGGTTCAACATAATAACCTAAGCCTTTTGTTGTACCTAAAAGTTCTGACTCTCTTCTCCTTATCTTCCTGCCAGCTCTGCAGATACTCATTGAACCCACCAAAAACAATTGTTCAAATGGGGTAAGGGGACATATGCCTGTGCTAGAAATCAGGGAAAGTGCCATCTGCATTCATGAAAATGAAGAATCCTGTAAGGCAGAGTAGGAGGAAGCAGTTAGAGGGAAGCATCATCTTAAGAAAAATAGCCTGCCAGATAAATTGGAACAGGAATTTTCATAACCTCAAGGCATCTGAACAAGCACTCTTACTCCTGTTCCCCCATCCCTGGTGAAAAATAAGGAAGCAGAAATGCTATCTGGTCTATGAAATGATTCAGTAGTTCAGAAGAAGGCAGTCAATCTAAGTAATCAAAGCATATGAGCCTCTAAGTACAAGTTACTGCCTCGCAAGAGAGAAAATTCAGAGATGATTGCATGTCTTTCTCCTGAGATTGTTTTCAGATCAAAAACATAGTTATCAAATTTTAAAAATTCAACTAAAGCAGATATCTGAGGCTAGATCCTACAGAAAATCAATAGTGGAGATGATCTTAAAAAAACTCACATAAATCAGAAGAAAAGATGAAAAATATACACATAGCAATGATTTTAAAGACAAGTTATAAAAGGAGAGACATAATGATAATAAATAATAGTGGAAATCATTGGACTTCCCTACTACAATAAATGTCAGAGGAAGTTGGAGTAGTATTTGTGTTTTTGTTGGGGAAAAGATTATGTTACGAAAATTCTCTATCAGGCAAAGAACAACAAAAAGATTTTCAGATGTGTAAGGTTTCCAACAGGGGACCACTACAATGACTTTATATTCTAATCTGCAGAGAAAAATTAAGTGGAAGTTTACAGGTCACATTTTCTGATTTTAATGAAACATAATTAAAAATTACTAATAAAAGGACAAAAACCTAAAAAACTTAGAAAGATCATATTTAATCCAAATAACTCTTAGATCAAAGAGGAAACAAAAGTGAATTATTACATATGTCGTAAATAACATCCATGAGAACACCATGAGTTATAATGTATGGAATATAACTAAACATATAAACTGAGAGTCTGAAGTACTTTTTATTTTAACAAAGCCAAATAAAAATAAATATCTATATATTTTAGAAACATAAAATTATAAAAAGAAAATTTAATAAGACAACATAGAAATTAATAAATTAGAACATTAAAATAGCTATACCTGAAAATGTAGTCTTTGTAAAGACCAATAAAATACACAAACCTCTGGCGAGTCTAACAAAAAAAATTGAGATTCCAAATATTCCACATGGGAAATGAGAACAGAATATAATCACATGTATGAAAGATAAATAAAGACCACTGTGTACAATAAATGTGATCAGGTGACTTAGAAGGAGGTACCAGAATATACCAATACCCATGGGTGAAATAAAAACAGTGATTAAAACATAAATAACATAACTAACTACTTCTTAAAAGTCACAAAGTCAAAAATTTCTAAGTAGCAGATGGGTTCCTATCTATTTAAACTCTTCCACAATATTAAAAACATAAGAATCTTCCCAATTTATTTAATGAAGATAACCATGATATAATGCTTGAAAATGCACACAAAATTTAAACTGGTATCACTTATAGCCTAGATGAGAAATTCTAAATAAAACACTATCATATATGCATAACCCATGGACACAGACAATAGTGTAGTGAAGGCCTGGAGTGGGGGGTGGGTGTGGGCTAGAAGAGGTCAGTGGGGATAAAAGGGGACATCTATAATACTTACAACAATAATGATTAAAAATAAATAAATAAATAAATAAATAAACACTATCAAATTCAACACAGATATATTGGGGGAAAAAACACACCAAAATTAAGCAATGTCTTTTTGCAGAAGTGCAAGGATAGTTCAACATTAGGAAATCCTTAATGTAGTTGTTACACTTATAAGGTAAAGGAGAAAAAAAAATATGTTTAATATATCTTTTTTATTTTATTAATTTAAAAAATAATTTCAAGAAAATCTAAAAATAAATTCTTATAAAATTTGACATCCTGCCACTAGCGCTTTGTTTTCCCCCCAGATCTTTGCAAGGCTGCTCCATGAAATTTAAATCTTACCCCGAATATTACCTCCATTTTATCTAAACTAGAAAGAAATTCTATTTTCTATGATATTACCCTATTTTGTTTTTTAAAACTCTTGTCACTTTCTGAAGTTATCTATTTCCATTTTTTGTGTGTTTGCTTATTTTCTCTCTTTCCCACCCACTTCACACCCATCCTGCCCACTTCTCTGCTACACCACACATTACAATATAAACCCAATTAGAACAGGAAACTGACCTGTCTGTCTTATTTAGCAATGAATTCTGTGCCTAACACAGGACGTTTTCTGAGCAGCTCAAGTGATGTTTTTTTTACTTTTTTTTTTTTTTAATCCTCACCTGAGGATATTTTTTCCATTGATTTTTAGAGAGAGAGTAAAAGAGAGAGGGAAAGACAGATAGAAATATCAATGTGAGAGAAACACATAGATTGGTTGCCTCCTGCATGCCCCAGTCCAGGGTCTGGGCTAGGAGGAGCCTGCAACCAAGGTACATGCCCTTGACCGGGAATCAAACCTGGGACCCTTTGGTCCGCAGGCTAACGCTCAAGTGATTTTAAATAGAAAAACGTTTTCAGTAAGCCAGAAATAAAAATTTAAAATACCAACTAATAGCCAATATCATACTTAGTGGTAAAATAATAGTTATCTTCATTAATATCAGACACTAAACAAGGCACTGT